AGTTTATAATATTTCAATGTTAGGTCATCTGGGCCAGATGATTTGCCAGTCTTGGGGGTGCCTATAGCAGTTTGGAGTTCCTCCATTGTGATGGGGGACTCCAACTCCTTCCATACTGCTGGAGGTAGCTAAGGAGGATAGGTAGACTTCCATACAAGACTGAGAGATCAATGGAGCAGGGAGGTTATAACGTTACATGGGGAAATCCCGTAACATCAAGGCTATCTGCTTGGAACGTCACTTTTTTGTTGTTGTTTCCGACTAACTTTGGTATGCAAGATTGAGCATGTAGTTCTCCAAGGGCATGTGCCAAAAGGTGACCACATTTGTCTCCTGAAAGTATAACTTTTTGCAGAACCTCAGGGTCACTTTGACTTTATACTGAAGTCGAGATTTCACCTGTAAGCAAAGACTGAGGAGTTATTTTACTGCTGCAGGATTGAGGCATCCACTTATGTATCAACTCAAGCGTTTGCAGCTTCACGAACAGTGCTGGAAGGTTGCTTTATCAAGTATTTTTTTGGGCGCTCTCTAATGCAGTTTATGGATTTTCACCTTTTTGCCATCAGATGTCATTGTAGCCTAGTTTTACATTTTTTTTTAATGTGTTATTGGCTCTGGTATAAATGATTCTTTACAGCTACCTGATCATCTCTATATTCTATTTTCAGAAAGCTTAAGCATAGCGCAGGGTAATTTGGGGTTTAATAAACCCTGATGTCTCCCTCAAAGGGAACCTGTCAACTGTACTATGCTAAATGAAAATGTATTAAACACCCCAGAAGAATGTTGAACGCTCCCTGCTCTAAAATACACGCACATGTTCACACTTGTCGCGCATGCATACGAAAATAAAGATTGCACAAATACAGTTGTGTTAAAAATAATAGCAGTGTGTGTTTAAAATAGTGAGTAAAGTTCAAAATCCTTAGAATAGCTTTTATTTCCATATATGCAAATGCATTGGGAACACTACACAGTCTATTCCAAATCAAAACATTTACTGTATAAACTGAAAAATGCTTGATTTTGATGTATTCAAATTGATCCATGATCCCTGGTATGCGATAAATAGGCCCAACACCACAGTATGAGAAACACCCACGTATCATGATGCTTGCGCCACCATGCTTCACTGTCTTCACAGTGTACTGTGGCTTGAATTCAGTGTTTGGGGGTCATCTGACAAACTGTCTCCGGCCACTAGACCCAAAAAGAACAATCTTAATTTCATCAGTCCACAAAATGCTGCGCCATTTCTCTTTAGGCCAGTCAATGCATGCTTTGGCAAATTGTAACCTCTTCAGCACATATGTTGTTATTTCAACCTTGGGACTTTGCGGGGGCTTCTTGCCGATAGCTTGGCTTCACATAGGTGTCTTCTAATTATAACAAAAAGAGTAAACAGGAGCATGAATTATGCAGTCCATATAGTCTTTTAATTAATGGATATGTGTTCCAAGTCAGGCGGAGGGTAATTCAGTCTGAGACACTAGGGCAGGCTGTGGTAGTGTGAAGCAGAGCTCTAGAGTAGAAGGAACAGAAGGAGAGACACAGCGCCTCTAAGTGTAGACTGTATGACAATTTTAATCAATAAAAAGGTACGTTTTTAAACAGGCTCATAAGGGTTAGTATGCAGAGCACCTATCGCCAGATGAAAACCGCACTGGGAGTAATAACGGACAATCAGCAGGAAGCACAGGAGGCCTTTGTGACTACATCCCTAAGTTACTATTTGTGACATCCAGACAGACATCGCTCTGTTGTCTCTCTGTGTGTTGTTCTCCGTATTCCCTCCTCCTGCTTTCCCTGCCTCTGGTCATGTCCCTCACTCCTCTTCGTTTCATATAAGGCTCCTCCTTACAAGTGCTCTACCCATGCCTGATGAAAGAACATGCCGGTCCATATCGGTCCCCGCAGATGCTCAGAAACGCATCACATCCTGATGACGTCAGACGGCAATGCCACTGCTCCAGAAATACTAGGGAATCTGCCAGACTTTCCCACCAACGTCTCTCCTCCCTCCAGCACTTCCTGCTGATTGTCCGGTATTACTCCCAGTGCAGTTTTCATCATCTGGTGATAGGCGCTCTACATACTAACCCTTATGAGCCTGTTTTACATTACCAAGATGTGAGTTGGTAAACTTACCTTTTTAATAATGATTTATAATTGTCATGCAGTCTACACTAATTGGCGCTGTGTCTCTTCTTCTGTGTCTTCTAATTGTAACAGTACTCACAGGTAACTTTAGACCTTCTTTGATCACCCTGGAGCTGATCATTGGCTTTGCCATTTTGTCTATTCTTTGATCCATTGGAATGGTAGTTTTCTGTTTTCTTCCACAACTTTCTGGTTTAGGTTTCCATTTTAAAGCATTTGAGATAATTTTAGCGGAGCAATCCATCAGTTTCTGCACTTCTTTATATGTTTTCCCCTCGCCAATCAATGTATGCTGTTCTTCTGATCAATGTCTGGAACGACCCATTTTACTCAGATTTTCAGAGAAAAATGCACTATGCTCAGCATGAACAATTGCTGCCTCCACTCAAAAGGGGAAGGAAGTTCCCCTGGTCCCCTGCTCTTCATTAAGAAATGTTACCTTTGGAGAGCAGAGGGGGGACGGTCAAGTGGGTACCCGAAATTGACATGTACCCGCTCCCCATCCACTTCCGCTGCGATTGCCTAGGCGATCGGATGCAGACGTCCTCCCACCCCGTAATCTTCTGGGACACAAGACAGGTCCCAGAAGACTACGGGACCATCCACAAAGCTCAGTGCTACTCACGCATGCTCAGTGAGCACCCGGCTGAGAAGCCACAAGCTGTAATAGCCAGGTGCCCATACTGAAGATGCCGGCACTGGGAATACAGGCGGCCAGTGAAGCAGGCTGCGGGGGGGGTTTGCGGGACACGACACCACGGGATCGAGGGACAGGTAAGTGTCCGTTTTTTACAAGTCAGCATCTACAGTTGTTGTAGCTGCTGACTTTTATTTTCTTTCCATTTCAGTCACTGGAACAGTTCTTTCACAGACTGAATGACCTCACTAATTAAACTTCACACTGCTAATATTTTGAACACACGCCTTTCAATTAACGATTCGATTACGCAGAATGAGCAGCATGCATGTTGTGACTGTTGGTCTTCTATTACTCTACTACACCTACTAGCAAATTATTTGCCAGGTAGAAATATAATTTTAGACCAAAAACTGATTGATCTAGTTAGCTATATTGGACTGCTATTATTTGGAATACAACTGTATATTAGGTATCACTGCACACATCGAGTATGAACTGTGAATGATTGGTCTAGAATTATTGCCAACTCTAAACTGCTGACCTGTTAAAGCCTCTTTAAAGGGTAGTACATAAACAATCTTGACATTTTTTAAATGTGCAACAGCTGCCGCAATTTCAGGCTTTACAAACTTATCATCTACAATTTTAAGTATTACCAAAAAAAATAGGGATCCTGTTTTTGTGTGCACTAAATTGAAGTGTATTTTTTCCTGAAAATATAGAATAGCATAGATCTTATGTTACATAAAATCTAGCAGCTACAACCATTTTATCTAAAAGGGTTTCTGCTTTCAAAAAAAATTTTAAGTGATTTTAAGTGCAATGTTCTGTAAAATGTCCTTTTTTGTGTGTGTATGCAAATTGGGAAAAAAGGCATTGACAGCAGTAGGGTTAAAGTGTATCTAAATTCAAAACCAAAAATGTGATCTATTACCGCTTACCAGTCCTTAGATGTGGTGAATGCATTAAGGTTTTCGTACACAAGATTCGCCTATTTTCAGAGAAAAGATATTTTCATAACAAAAAAAAAGGCGGAGACAAGGGTACCACTGATATTTTTATAACTTCTCTCCATACACACATAACAATAAGGAGGAACAATCCAATTCATTATGCTATATGTAGAAGCAAAAGCTCTGAAGATGCAAAATCTACAACTGAGTCCTAAACCTGTACAGATCCGAGAGGCACAGACAGCGCTTAATACACTACAAGATAACCTATCTGCAGCTTTTATTGGCCCTTACTCTTCCATCAACCACACCCTATATTGTTGAGTCATGGCTACATATTGCTCTATGCTTCGGTACTAAGCCACTTTGTAACCCATAATGCCCAACTTCCCAGATAATGATCTGAATTTTCAGGACAGATTTTTTTTCAGTAACTTCTGCTTTGGTCCCTGACCACAACACACTTTATCAATAAAGGATTCATACAAGCAATACAATTATATTCACGTACATTTCCAAGACTGCTTATGCACTGCGCGAGAAGAGGACAGTTACAGAACAAAACTTACCAGATAATAAAATAAACTAGGGGTATTTTCAGTTTGGTACAGGCTGCACTGGCAATGACATGATTGAATTGCAGACATTCCCACTTTCACAATAGTGACACTATTAATGCTAGATTTTCTTTACTCAATCATTCCACTTCTAGTTTTTTGTATATTAAACCACTTTCACACCAGGGCTGTCTGCCATACAACCTTTACCTATGTAAACCTTTGCAGGCACCTGAAAGGTGTAATTGTCATAAAAGGAAAATGTGTTGAATTAAATAGGGAATTTGCTGATTTAGGAGGGTCAGTCCTGAACATCAGCTTATATGTAAACACTACACAAAGGCTTCACAATGGCTGCACAGCCAAATTTTGAAGGGAGGTTCTCTCTTCCCTAGATTAGCCATGGATATATACAGCCTACATCACTCTATGATTTTTGGTATCCCACCACTGCCAACGTCAAAAATCCATATCCCAATCCTGCAAATCTGACTCCATGGGGGAGGCTTCAATGATGTCAAGTGGTCAATAATACAGGAGACAATAAAAGGGGGTTTGCAGAGGTTGGATTTGAGCAGGTGTATATACATTGAGCATGTAGATGTACAGCTGAGGCAATTGTAGTTAGCGAGGGGGAGGGGGGCAGCCAATGATGTAACACTGACAACAGGATGAGTGACACGGTGATCAGGCCAGGGTGACTTGTTTTTCTTCAGGGGTTTCCTCCAGCAGTTGCATAATCAGTTCATGAAGTGGCCTGCAGACCTTAGCATAGCCAGTAGCCGTGAGGTGGAGGAAGTCGAACATGTCATTTCGAGAAGTAGTGCCATCTGAGTGAACAAAGCCAAAATCTAAGTCCAGCAGCTGCACTCCAGGAAGACGTGGGAGCCATGAGCGCAAGAGCTGGTTGACACGTGCATTCTTCTCTCGCAGTGGATTTGGCTTCTCTCCACGTGGCAGTAATCCCTATAACAGGAAACAAAAAAGTCAAGCGCAGAAAACATTTTGAAAATGTAAAACTTTTGCATGACATGATTTTATCTCTCAGATCAGTTTTATGTCCATTTGTAGACACTCAAAGCCCTTACATATTTACTCTTCTATGACAATATGTACCAAGGCTGAATATGGTATATGGATATTATTATTATACAGTATTTATAAAGCGCCAATAGTTCGCTCAGCACTGTACATTACAAAGGGGGACAGAACATGTGACAGAACAATACCAATACAATGCAAAACATGAGGGGATTGAGGGCCCTGCTCTTTCGAGCTTACAATCTAGTGGATATCAGAGAATTTAACTAAACCCTCAAAAAGTGTCAGATTGAGGGGCGTGGAGACGCATGGCAGCACACTGCTAGAGCTCCAGGGAGAGATCAGCTCTACAGCCACTTAAGCGGTACACAGCACGGCGATCATGGGCAGGATTGTTAAGCCCACTTCACACAATCGCCCACATCGTTCGCAATCCGGGTCCTCAGTACGCCCGATCCAGGATCTTTTCCACAATAGAGGTGCACAGAGGAACGGCCCTGATGGGGGTAAGAAGGTACCTTTACATCATGAGGAAGTTCACAGTGAGGAGTACCTTCCAGCTTCTGAGGATATGGTAAGAGGGGACATGTGCTCCGATCCGCCACTCACATACTATGAGATGACAGAGATCGTTTACATCTGCAATTACTGATTTAAAGGAAGATTTATCTCTCTCTGAGCAATTAACATTGCAGAATGCTGGTGCTTACAGGGACAGGGCGATCTGTAGGCTGGAAAAAGTTTCTGAAAGTTATGCTACACACTTGATTAATGTGAATCACCACCTTGAAGATTTAGATAACAGAGGGAGAAATAACATCAGAGTGAGAGGCGTCCCTGAATCTGTGTCTGCTGAACAACTTCTGTCGGCATTACAATCTATCTTTAACAATCTTTTAGAGAGACCTGCGGACACTGTCATTGATTTTGAGAGAGCACACAGAGCCCTTAGGCCAAGGGGGGCAGACTGTTCCCCCCCCCCCCCCCCCCCCCCCCCCCCCCCAGGGACATCATTTTGCTGTATTGCCAACTTAAGATTGAAAGAAGAAATCCTCAAAAAAGCCAGACAAAATGATCTCATTACTTTTAACGGTGGTGAACGTGCACTCTTTCAGGACCTTTCCTCTATTACTTTGAAAAATAGAAGAGCACTACGCCCTCTACTGGCCATCATGCAGGAGAAGGGGATTCCTTATAGATGGCGGTTTTCTTTTGCCTTGCAGGCTACCCAGAATGGTAAGCACTATCTGTTGAGAATGCCTGCAGATATCCGGGGTTTCTGTGATGACCTCTAACTTCCATACGTGGAACTACCGGAATGGTATGAGGAATTTCGAGTTTTATCAGCAGTTCCCACCATCGGATCAACTCCTCCGCAAACCCCTTCTAAATCACAATATCGAAAAACATGGCACCAGAAGCAGGCCAGTCCAGGTTCAATCTTATCCTCACTGAAATCTAAGGAGTTAAGAGTGAGAGAAGATTTTGATGATACCTGACTGTGATTACCGTGTTTCCCTGAAAATAAGACATACCCATAAAATAAGCTGTAGCAGGAATTCTAAGCATTTGCGCAATATAAGCCATACCCCAATATAAGACATAGTGATGGAGCAGCCCTTCTCATCTCCCCCATTGTGACAGCTGCTATCTCGGAGGTGAAGGGAGAGGTTACAGGCAGCCCCATCAACAAGGTCGGATCCCGATCATTCTGTGTGTGGTGCAAGCTGATTCATAGTGGGAGACAGTGAAGAGGTAGAAAGTGAAAGTAAAAAAGTCTCAGTGAAGTGAGGAGCAGGACGCTCTGCTTTAGGTACCGTATTGTGTGTCCTCAGGGGGAAGAAGTAAAGCTGTGCCTGCTGTTTTACTCAGCACTGTGGGTCTCTCTCCCCCAGCACCAACCAGCAACAGTCTGTGGATCTCTCTCACCCCCCATAAACACCAGTAAAGCTGCTGCTCCCCAGCATTGACCAGCAACAGTCTGTGGATCTCTCTCACCCCCCAAAAACACCAGTAAAGCTGCTGCTCCCCAGCACCAACCAGCAACAGTCTGTGGGTCTATCTCATCCCCCACAAACACCAGTAAAGCTGTGGGTCTGGGTCTCATCCCCCACAAACACCAGTAAAGCTGCTGCTCCCCAGCACTGACCAGCAACAGTCTGTGGGTCTCTCTCACCCCCCACAAACACCAGTAAAGCTGCTGCTCCCCAGCACTGACCAGCAACAGTCTGTGGGTCTCTCTCATCCCCCACAAACACCAGTAAAGCTGCTTCTCCCCAGCACTGACCAGCAACAGTCTGTGGGTCTCCGTCATCCCCCCAAAAACACCAGTAAAGCTGCTTCTCCCCATACATACCATACATAATAAAAATAAGACATCCCCTAAAATAAGCCATAGTGTGTCTGCTTGAGGAAAAATAAATATAGGACAGTGTCTTATTTTCGGTGAAACACGGTAGTTGGTTTTAGCCTTTTTTTTTCCTCTCTTACAGTCCCTGTTGCTCTTTTCAGTCCATGCTTTTTCCGGATAGAGAGGACATCAGGAGTTCACGTTGAGGGAGGTCTTGACTGTGGCTAACCACCGTGGGCTCACTTCCCTTGCTGTGTGTTTGCTCTAGCTCTTCTATTTATGTTTGATATACTTTGCCTAATTGATGATTATGTGCTTAATTAACCAGGTGATACAATTTTATTCTGCTTACGGCCTGACCGCCGGAATGTTCCTTATTATTGGCTCTCAGGGCTCACATGGCCTAATAGTTATGTATCCATTGGCACATTGTTTGAAATTGTTGCACCTGTGTTAGATATATTTTCTATAATTGCAAATGATCTCTGGATTCTATCTAATGTTTATGATACTGTCCCTGCAGTTATCTGAATCCTGCATTTAATACAGGTGTTGTTGGCTTTGAGTTCAGATCTCCCTAGATGTAATTGCCATTTGTTTATTATTACTTCTGCCGTTCCTATGGTAAGCTTTGCCATAGGCATTATTTTTCACTACTGAAAGACGGCTTTGCATGGCCTTCTATAGTGTTTCTGCAAGAACACATTTTAAAACCAGACAGATTCCAACGTTGTCGAACAATTACTTTACGAAAGCATACCATTTCTCCTTCTGTCAGCACATCACGGATGAGCTGAAAGGGTTTGCAGCTGGCTGTCTGCTCCTAGGAGGAGATTAAAATATCCCACTTAACCCTGCTTTGGACATGTATAATGGGACAACCTGTATCGCATATAAAAACCTTAAAAGGGTTAAGCTACGTCTGAGATCTTTACTACTGATTGATGCTTGGAGATCGCTTAACCCCACTGGCCGTGACTACACGTGCTATTCCCCACCACACAACCGATATGCCAGGATTGATTACCTTTTTATTTCTCAAACAGACCTCCCTCTGCTGACTGTCGCTAAGATCGGGATACAATCTCTTTCAGATCATGCCCCACTATCGCTGAGTAAGACATCTAAGACGTATAACTGGAGACTTAATCCGGCTCTAGGGATGGATGTTGAAATTCTGACCGATATCACCAATACGATTAAACAATATTTTCGTATCAATAAGGGTACAGGAACTTCTCCTATTAGCATGTGGGAGGCACACAAATGTGTTGTACGCAGAGTGTTTAAGTTGGGTGCCAGACGGAAAAGGGAGCAGTCTAGAATTACCAATATTTCAACAAATATAGCAAAACTTAAATCTCACCATAAACTTTCCCTTGCCAATTCCAAGGCGGTTGAACTTCAGAAGGCGCGGTTGGAACTACAGGCCATCCTAGACACCAACTATAAGCAATCCCCGTTTTTCAAAAAATTAGTCAACTATGAGGGAGCAAGCAAAAGTAGGTGTTTCTTGGCCAGGGCCTTACAAGAGGCTAAACTAAATGAAAACATTCATGGAGTTAAAAACTCGAAAGGTACCTTGGAACATGACAGTAAAGTGATTGCCTCCTTATTTCATCAATATTACACCACCTTGTATAACTTGCCCCCCACTCACACCCATAAGGTGCTTAAGGGAGAGAAATTTGATCTAATCAAGGATTAGAAAAGTAAAATTGCCTTCCCTGAAAACGCTCAATGTCAAACTGCTAGAATGCCCTATTGGGGAGACAGAGTTGGCCAATGCTATTAAAAGTTTAAAATCGGGGAAAAGCCCTGGTCCAGATGGGCTAATGTGACAATATTAAAAGACCTTTAGCTCCCTGCTCTCTATGCCTCTACTGCAGACACTCAACTCTTTGAGCACGCCTCAGCCTATCCTCCTTCTTTTTCTCTTTCATATATCACTGTCATCCCCAAAAAGGATAAAGACCCTGCCGACCGTACAAGCTACAGACCAATTTCCCTACTTAACATTGATATAAAGTTGCTTGCGAAAATACTGGCCAACCGGCTTAGACCCTACCTATCTGATATCATTGGAACAGAACAAGTCGGTTTTATGTCAGGCAGAGAAACACGTGACAATATTGTCAAGGTCCTTAACCTAATCCATACGGTGAGGGTCGAGGGCTTTCTCCTCTCTATCGATGCAGAGAAGGCCTTCAATCACGTATCGTGGGACTTTATGTTCACTACGTGTGCCCATATAGGGCTGGAACCTCATATGTTGAATTGGATCTCTGCTTTATATCAGAATCAAACGGCTAAGATCAAGGTTAATGGTACGCTTCCTGAAACCATAACTATTAAAAATGGCATGAGACAGGGTTGTTCCCTATCTCCCCTTCTGTTCATTCTCACTCTTGAACCTTTCATACGGCTGGTTCAGCAAAATGAGAAGATTCATGGATACCAGATCAATAATGAGACTTTCAAAACGGCGGCATATGCAGATGACCTGTTATTTTTCATATCTCAACCTCATATTTCTGTTCCTAACCTTCCGAGCTTATTCAACCACTATCATTTTCTCTCAAATTTGAAAATAAACTACACTAAATCAGAGGCATTAAATTTAACAGTAAGCCCCTCCTCCTTAGCCCTCATTAAGCGAAACTGCTCTTTCGGGTGGGTTTCCACAGCTCTTAAATATTTGGGCATTTGGCTCACTCCCAATCACGATGACTTTAAACACACAAAACTTTGTCCCCTTACTACCCAATATTCAGAAAGATCTCAAAATTGGCACACAAAACTTTCTCCTGGTTTGGTAGGGCAGCCATCTTAAATAAAATTAATATTCTTCCTCAGATATTTTACTGCATGAACGCTCTCCCGATTAGGCTCCCATCAACCTTTTTATAAAAAATTACAACTGGCTCAAAGAGCCTTTGTGTGGGGTTAAATAAAAAAAAATGTATTCGATTCCAACTTGTCACGCGTGCCAAGAGTTCTAGAGGTATGGGGTTACAAGACTTTAAAAAGTATTACTACGCTACTCACATTACCAGAATCATAGACTGGAATTGTCATGCCACGCATAAACACTGGGTTTCCCTGGAAAGCACTGACGTTTCAGCTCCTTTAAGATTTTCACCATGGCTGTCAAAGTCTGCTTATCCCAAAGCATTTGTTAGCACATCCCTTAATTGGCGCAACATTAGATACCTTTGATGACCTTGCAAGAAGGGTTGTGGGTTTTGCTAGTTCTCCGGGTCCTCTCACTCCTATTGCTGGTAATCCAGAGTTTCCTCCCGGGTTGGAGTCTGGAGTGATTCCAGTACATGAGCCAACCTTATCTCTGTTGGTGACTCATAGCTTCAAACGTAGGGGAGTTAAGTCCAAAAAGAGCACTCCATGAGCTATGCGGAAAGGTTTAGACCCCGTACTGGACTTATTTTCAAATACATATTTATTTGACTAACCACAGATGAAAAGAGGCTTTTTCCAGGCCCCTCACAACCCTAGAAATGCAATGTTTAAAGGGGAAACCCATCGACAAAACCACCTCTTTGGCCTATTCATGGCTTCAAAACACTCACTCTGAACCCCTGACAATTTTCGGACGGGTTGGGAATCAGCCCTTCAGGTACAGTTCTCTGATGAGCAATGGAGAAAAGACTGCATTTTTTGCTCACAAATGCTCCATCAGCATTAGAACCCAAAAAACCTCCTACAAATTGTTAACAAGATGGTATGCTACCCCGGAGAGGCTAAAGAGGTGGTTCCCCCAGACATCAGGCTTATGTTGGCGCTGTGATTCAGCCGAGGGCTCTGTTACGTGTCTGGTGGCAAGGTCCACGGCTTATGCCATTTTGAGACAAAGTTTGCGAGTTCACATACTCTATTACTGAGATTGCATTACCCTTAACCCATGAATGCTATCTCCTCCATATCTCGGAGTGCTCATTGAAATCGTACAAGCAATCCTTGGTTCGGCACCTTTTAAAATGCAGCCAAGTCCCTAACTACTAGGCATTGGAAGACCCCTCGATTCAAGCTTGGATAAGAGAGGTTAACGTTATTCAGGAATTGGAAAGGACATTGACTATGACTGATGACATAGTTGCCAGATTCCACAAATTATGGTCCAGTTGGTATGCTTTCCCTTTCTCAGAAACGTATAGAGGGCTGATGGACGAATAACACTTTTCTACTTGTCAATGTGTGTATCATGCTGGTGGATACTTGACACCACCTGTGGAATTGGATCTGTTCTTACGATTGCTGTTCTCTTTCTTTGCTAAATTTTATTCTTCCTTTCATGCACTTATGTTAGATTTGAGGTTTGTACATGCAATTTATAAATATTTCAGTTTGTGAATGCCTCATGTAGACCACTGATCTGATTGTACTATCAAGTTTTTCCAGAAGCCAACATTTGTTAGCGTGTACTACATGACTTCATAACATGCAAAGCCTTTTGGTAGTTCATGGATGGTTATATGTTCTGCTTTTTATGAATAAAGGTCAATTGTTTAAAATAAAAAAAAGTGTCAGTTTGAAAAACAAATAACTGTGGATGTAATTAACACTCCAATTTACAGCAATGAGGCAAAAACAAATAAAAATGTACACTTTTAATCCGATCCTTACAGTTCAATTAAATGCCCATGCAGTTTAAAAATGAAAAATATCTATTCTGCAAGATCTATGACTTTGATTTGCTGAAACTGGAGAGTGCAAATTCTAGTGCAGCTCTGCAAAGAAACCAATCAGCTTCCAGGTTTTATTGTTAAAGCTTAAAATCCACAAAAAGACGTGGTCGGAAACACCTCCTTTCTTTCTGTGCAGTGTAAGTGTGCATGAGGACACCAGTAAAGACTGTGCCTGTTATTCATCCATACCTGCAGAAAGCACTACAGTGGAAGAAAGCACATTTCTACTAAGAGAATTAGGTATTTTATGGCACTTCCATTTAAAAATCAGTTAAAAATAATAACATGCAGGGGATAGGACTATTAAAACAAGAAAAGGTGTGAGACTTCAGTTGGGGTTTAGAACCAGTGTTAACAGGCTTTGGGCCTGTGTCAATAGCACCGTTTTACAGGATTCTAAGTTTCTTTAGAATTCCCAAAGGCTTGTATGGAAATGCAAAATACATTTTGAGTGAGCATAGCCTGTTGAAATAGGGCCTTGGTGTGGAGGGACTGGCAATCGCCACAGAGTATTGTTTTTGCACTTACCATGACAATTATTTTGGCTTGTGGCTGCAACGTATTGATGAGTTTTATGATGGCTTCCACCACTCCTCCGGCCACTTCGTCTGCAGAATTTTCATGGTTATTGGTGCCAATCCATAAAACAATAACCTAGAGAATAAGGACAAATATTTTAAGATGCTAATTGCATATTTTAGCATTTTTTTTTATTCCAGACTGGAACATGAATATATAACAAATTTTCTTACTTTAGGTTTGATATTCTCTAGTTCTCCATTTTGAAGTCTCCAAAGGACGTGGCGTGTGGTGTCTCCACCAATGCCAAAGTTCAGTGCATGCAGTGGAGAGAACAGTTCCCTCCATATCTGTGGAAGATATAGCGAGATTAAATATTAATATACATTAAACCTGAGACTTAACAGCCTGCTTTATCCAAAGCCTGGGTTTCCTTGAATGTTGACTTTAAGGCCTCGTGTACACAGGATGTTTTCTTTCCTTCTGTGGATACCTTTGTTCCATGGGAGGGAAAAACAGCGTTAAATATTGGCACAACAAACGTCTGGGCGTTCATTCATCTGTTAGCCAGAATAATAATTTATTCTGGCCACTGAATTGAATGAATGTTAAAGTGCACCCAGCATTTAGGCATGCTTAGATGAGTTTAAATGTGTTTAGCTGTGTCGGGCGGTTGTTTTTGCAGCAAAATTCTACTCTCCTAAATGGCTGGCACTGGGTTTTTTTTTTCTTCCTGTAAACACCTATGTGTGCAAGGACAGATAGGCTAACAGAGGGGTGTTTAGAAATTGAAAAAAAATGTCTGTGGAAGCTGACTGCAGAATACAGTCATTACCAATATCTTATTTGGAAGATAAGTAGAATCAGGAAAGAATGATTACAGGCTAGGTTCACCTTTTAAAAAAATAACAAATACACAAGTTTTGCAGGAAACAAAATGTGCATTTATTATTTTTTTTCTACAGACGCCTGCAAAGCATTAAACCCGTAATCAGTGGATCCCAGGTACAATGTCAGGCACCTGCAGGCTCTTTACCCGCACCTCTTTACGGGATTTCAGCTAGAGAGCTGGAGGGAGTGTCAGTGGAGGACTACTACTGATTACTGTACATCCACTGTGAAGGACAGTATATATATATATCTTTTCATGTGACAACACTGAAGAAATGGCACTTTACTACAATGTGACATAGTGAGTGTACAGCTTGGATAACATGTAAATTTGCTGTCCACTCAAAATAACAACACACAGCCATTAAGGTCTAAACCGTCTGGTAACAAAAGTGAGTACACCACTAAGTGAAAATGTCCAAATTGGGCCCAATTAGCCATTTTCCCTCCCAGGTGTCATGTGACTCCTTAGTGTTACAAGGTCTCAGGTGTGAATGGGGAGCAGGTGTGTTAAATTTGGTGTTATCGCTTTCACTCTCTCATACTGGTCACTGGAAGTTCAACATGGCACCTCATGGCAAAGAACTCTCTGAGGATCTGAAAAAAAAAAAATTGTTGCTCTACATAAAGATGACCTAGGCTATAAGAAGACTGCCGAGAGAGAGAGAGAGAGAGAGAGAGAGAGAGAGAGAGAGAGAGAGAGAGAGATCACTTTACCCCTGTACAAATCATTAGTAATACCTCATCTGGAATATGCAGTTCAGTTTTAGGCACCAATTCACAAAAAGAACATTGGGGAACTGGAGAAAGTACAGAGAAGGGCAACCAAACTGATAAGAGGCATGTAGGAGCTCAGCTATGAGGAAAGATTAGAGGAACTGAATTTATTCTCTCTTGAGGGGATATAATAAAATATTTACAAAAATGTGAGGGGAGTACTCAATTCTGGGAGATATTGTGTGTGTGTAATAAATACATATCTCACGCACACCTCAAAAAAAGGGACACTTTTTAATCAGAGTATAGCATCAAGTCAACTCCTGGGATATTGATCTGGTCAGTTAAGTAGCAGAGGGGGTTGTTAATCAGTTTCAACTGATTTGGTGTTAATGAAATTAACAACAGGTGCACTAGATAGGCAACAATGAGACAACCCTCAAAACAGGAATGGTTTTACAGGGGGGGAGGCCACTGACATTTTTTTCCCTACTCATCTTTTCTGACTGGTTTTCACTAGTTTTGCATTTGTCTAGGGTCAGTGTCACTACTGGTAGCATGAGGCAATACCTGGACCCTACAGAGTTTGCTTAGGCAGTCCAACTCCTCCAGGATGGCACATCAATACATGTCATTGCCAGAAGGTTTGCTGTGTCTCCCAGCACAGTCTCAAGAGCATGGGGGTGATTCCAGGAGACAAGCAGTTATTCTAGGAGCGCTGGACAGGGCCATAGAAAGTCCTTAACCCATCAGCAGGACCAGTATCTACTCCTTTGTGCAAGGAGGAACAGGATGAGCACAGCCAGAGCCCTACAAAATGACCTCCAGCAGGCCACTGGTGTGAATGTCTCTGACCAAACATTCAGAAAGACTTTATGAAGGTGGCCTGAGGGCCCGACGTCCTCAAGTGTGCCCTGTGCTCACTGCCCAGCAACATAGAGCTTGATTGGAATTTGCCATTGAACACCAGAATTGGCAGGTCTGCCACTGTACTTTTCACAGATGAGAGCAGGTTCACCCAGAGAACATGTGACAGATGTGAAAGGGTCTGGAGAAGCCATGGAGAACGTTATGCTGCCTGTAACATTGTTTAGCATGACCGTTTTAATGGTGGGTCAGTGATGGTCTGGGGAGGCATATCCATGGAGGGACACACAGACCTCTACAGGCTAGACAATGGCACCCTGACTGCCATTTGGTATCGGGATGAAATCCTCGGACCCATTGTCAGACCTTAAGTTGGTGCAGTGGGTCCTGGGTTCCTCCTGGTGCACAACAATGCCTGGCCTCATGTGGCGAGAGTATGCAGGCAGTAACTCGAGGATGAAGGAATTGATACCATTAAATGGCTCCCACGCTCTCTTGACCTACATCCAATAGAACACCTCTGGGATATCAGGTTTTGGTTCATGTGCTGCTGCCAGGTTGCACCTCAGACTGTCCAGGAGCTCAAAGATGCCTTGGCACAGATCTGGGAGGAAATACCCCAGGACACCATTCGTCGTCTCACTAGGAGCATGCCCCAACATTGACAGGCATGCATACAAGCACATGGGGGCTTAATTTATTTTTTTTGAGCAGTGTGTGTGTGTGTGTAATATATATATATAAAAAACATGCTAGTATTAAGGTAGTCATGGAGCTAGGTAATGGTGTACAGGATACAGGGATTCATTATTGTACAGTTCATACACAAGGGGAGGAGGAGGTGAAGGGGTTAATGTATGGGTGGATGGAGATGTGGAGTTATTCTGCAGGATAAGGGATGTAAAGGGGTTAATATACAGACACAAAAGAGACAGGATGCACATGGGATGCACAGGAGAAAGAGGGATGGTGGCGATGATGATGGAAGTAAAAAACACATTGACATTTATTAGCCCCCTTCTTTAAATCAGCTGTTGCCTGAATGAATTAACAAATAACCTCCACTGTGACAGGAAGAGAAAGGCTCTCAAGTGTGAACAGTAGTACCATTTATAATTGCGTTTGCTGTGATTGGCCATCTTAGTGATCAGAAGGGACAGAGTAACTCTGGTTTTATGCATATTGCCTGTGATCTATTGCCTATTGATCTGTGCTGTCCAATGATAGTGCAGTTATAGGCACTGTGTGCGCACACACTAGTTTTGGGCATGATGTTCAAGTCGAACATCAGTACGACTTTAACATCTGCCGTTTGTGTGTTCGGGGAACACACGAACCATAAGGACATTCGGTGGGCTATCCGCCCACCCTGCCCCACAATGCACAATGCATTGTGATAGGCCAAAGCAATGCACCTGATTAGGGCTGCTGTTGGAAACCATAGGGCCCCATACATCCAACCTGAACACCCCGCCTCCCACCAAAAAAAGAACAAAACAAAAAAAAAAAAAAACACACTATGCTACAGTTATGAATGAACACAGTGAGTTACAAATCACTCATTGTGTTCATTCAGGAAAGGAAGGGGCCGGTAAATATGACATATTTACTGAACCCTTCCCCCACTCTCCATCCTGAAGGATCCTATTGTGTGCCTGCAGCTGCCGGTGGGAAGGAGAGGAGGCAAGCCAGCAGTACTGAGGGAGTGGGAACATACAGGGGGGTCTGGGCAGCATGGGGAAATGTGTGGAGTACAGGGAGGGTTATGGGTGTGTGCGGGAAAAGAGGGGGGGGGGGGGGGGGGCGACGCAAATACTGGAACCAATCCCCTGTATGGGCTCTCTTTACAGCAGCTGAAAGCCAGCAGGAGGGAGAGTGGAATAAGCCAGCTTTCAGCTGCTGTAGAGAGAGCTATAAAAGGGGATTGGTTCCAGTAATTGCCCCACATGCTGTGCTGATCACTCTCCCTGCCATCACATCCGTTCAACCTAGTTGCATGGGCCCCGTACAGGAGGTCTGGTAGTACCCCCTTATCCACAGCCGTGAACCTGACCAAAGGTCAGGTACAATGCTTTGGCCAATCACAGCGTATGATGATGTCACAAGGGGGCAGAGGTGAGCCTGCCCCCTTGTGACATCATCTCAGTATATAAGAACTGTCATACCGATGCAGCTGTCAGATGGCGGGAGCCAGTGTCGAGAACGGAGCATTTTTTGATTTTCAGGTCAGCGGTGGTGGTGGGCATTGTGATCTACTTCAGGGGACTTTTTTAAAAATTTGTTTCTAAAAAAATTTTTGTTTACTGTGATTTTTTCCACTACATCTTTTTTTTTTTTGTTTACTGAGTAGCGGTACCATGTATCCCATACCGATTCACATGGGGGGCAGGATCTGGTGGCCCCCTTGTTAAAGGGGACTTCCTGATTCCGGTAAGCCCCCTGCCTACAAACCCCCACAACCTCCAGCCACGGTTGTGGGGAAGAGGCCCTTGTCCCCATCAACATAGAGACAAGGTGCTTTGGTGGGGACCCCAAAGCACCCCCATCATGTTGAGGGCCTGATATGGTTCAGGGGCGGGGGGTGCTCGCTCGTCTTTCTACTTTCCTGCCCTGCATGCTCGGAAAAGGGTATGGTATGGATTTTATGGATTTTGGGGTGGACCCCCACACCATTTCTTTTTTTTTTTTTTTTTTTTTTTTTTTTTTTAATTCTGGCATCTGGGCTCACCTCAAAATCCATACAAACCAGACCCAAAAGGTATGGACGTGTTTTTTTTTTATAAGAAAAAATAAATTTCCAGGCAATGCCTGCAATTCTTTTTACATTCAGCTGTCAGCGGGGAACCCTGCCGACAGGTGAAACATGAAAGAATGT